GAAGGCCACTTTATCACTGTATTCTGATAGCAGGTGCTGCGTCAGGGTAAATGGCGTTAAGTCGAAACCTTTCGACGTTGGCACTGGTCTCCGACAAGGCTGGATCCTGTCCCGTCTCCTGTTTGTGTTGTACATAAACAGAATAGCCAGGCGCAGCCAAAGCGATGAGTGTATCGGTGTAGGAGATGTGAAGTAGAGAAGGTTGCTGTTTGCAGACAACCTTGCTTTATTGGCATCATCTGAAATTGACCTACAGTGCTCCCTGGAAAGGTTCGCAGCCGAGTGCGACGTGATTGGCACGCGTGTGAACGCATCGAAAACGGAAAGCCCAGCGCTTTCTCGTTCTCTTGACCGTTGCTCTTTTCATATAAACGGAGGAGCATAGCAAGTGAAAAAAATTTCACTTACCTCGGGCAGTGTTTGCTGGCGGTGGAAAAAAAGGAGGAAGAGGTAAACCGGTGAATTTTAATGGATAGCGCAATTTCGGGCGAATCCATGTAACTTAAGCGAAGCTGAGACTGTAGAATGAGTTCTCTGTTCAAGCGCATCTTCACGCCAACGTTTATCTACGGATCACGACTAAGAAACGTCGATCCCGGATATAAGGGTCTGATGGCCATCTGAGACGAATAACGGATGAACATAACGTTCGGTTCCGCTACATAAGACACTATGAATTACTGCAGTTACTCGTTTCACCATCAGCTTTAAAAAACTTGACCGCAATTTGATCAGGGCGCGATTCTTCAACAGCTCCGATTATCTTAATCGCATGTTCGATTTCGTCCTCAAAGACTATGATAGAGTTATCGAGGCAGGCGAGTAAGTAGAGTATCTATATTTCTCATACTACCACTTGCGCAGGTATAGAGGTTGTCGCTTGCTCATCGGTTAATGAATAAATCACATAGACGTGAAGGACAGAAGTCCTTCTAGCCGTAAAGATAGGATCATCCAAATAGACTGTAAACACTTCCGTGACAAAATCACATTTGCATATTTGTCGTAAAATCAGTGGCTTTAATTAGCCGTTACCGACAGCAGTATTTCGCAACGCTTGATTCTAACGTATTTGTGAATCAGGGTTCGATGAATCGCTAATCATTTCGGGTCGTGGAGGCAGTCGTGTCAGACAATGCCTCCAAACGTTCTCCATCCTGTGCCAGCGTTTCAGCTTCGGAGTCTGGAAAAGAGATCTTGGAAATCCTTGCCAAGGCTATTCTTCACGGTCAGTCCCACGGGGTCTTGACCGGTCAGTTCAGCAA